TCTATTTATAATAACAGTAGAGCAAAATTTTGCATAGTAGCCAACTAAACCCGAAGCTGACGTCATCGCCTCATCGCTTTTCTATCGCTCAAGCTAAACGAACTCTGGTGTTCTGTCTTACCCACTCTATAATAGACTCGATAGAGCCCGATCAATGTTAAAATCAACTAACTAGGCGTCAAATCTCTTGTCAAGTTATCTGATTTGTTGTTGATAATTCAGTCAACCAATCAGATGACTTGACATGAGATGAAATTGATTTTAACATTGATCGCCCTTTCGGAAACCAATTGTAAGAGATTACAATGGCGTATACATGTCTGAGTGACAATAAATTACATTAAAATCGATTCGAGCGCATTCTTTTGCCAAATTATACTCCATTATGGTGATAAAACTTAGTGATGTAGGAACAATTAAAATTCAACAGATCTTGAAAATACTCTAACAAGTTATTAAGATTTAAGCGGGACACTGTAACGTCTTTTCGCTTAGCAGAATCTAAGATCTTATTTGGTAATGTTTTATTAAGCTTCTGTAATATTCATATGAGATATTTTGTTTGGACACAAGTCAAAATCTCCATTAGACTCTTGAATAGTTAATGAACCATTTTGAAATAAACCTACATACTAAATTTATTGCAAATAAAAATTTTATCACGCGGTTATTTTTGCGTCGCGCAGACATTTTTTTTTTTAAGTTGTCCCACTCTAGCATTTACTCGTGTGTCGTGGGTGTGTTTACTAACATACAATGGGGATGATGACTAAAAAATAATAATTAGTCCATCTTTTAGAACGCCAGGAAATAGTAGACAAGTATTTTTTCTTTTGCTTCTAAAACTTAAAATAACAAAGTTACAGAGCGGCAAAAGTTCGCGCTACGTCATTATTTCGTATTTTTTTTACGAAAGAGTGAAGTTACGAGCCCTTGCTCCTGAATTTGAATGTGCTGTATCTTTGTCAATATTATTCGTATGGATAAACAAAAAAATACGTATCGAGTATTTTTCTATAATCTAACTGACGGACTAATTAGAATCTTGTTGTTATAACCAAGTAGACATCCCTATTTCACTTGCACACCACACCGAGACCAACAATTGGTGGATCACACAAAGAGTTGTTCCGTGCGGGAATCAACCTGTTGCGCGGCAGCCAGTTGCAGCTACCGCACCAACCGCGCAGTCCAAGTTGGATGCGCGTGCACGGTGTTCATGAATAAGAGTCCCGTTCTAACTTGAAACTAGTCGAGCTCTCTCCGTTCATTCACGTGAGTAAATCGTTATCTTCGATAAATTTAGCATGTCTCACAAAAGACTACTATTCAAAAATAGGCCTTTCACATTTCTATTTGTTTGTAAAAGATTACACGCATTTACCAAACTTAATTAAACACCACCAATTCCAGTTATGGACTCCATGTAAGGTGAAAGACTTAATAGCCTGCCTGGTATTCAAAACTTAGAACCAGCATGGTTTCCATGCAAAATGTCAAAAGTATTAAAGTTTTAATTCAAGAATTTTTATTTGATACACACTGTTCTAATTAAAATTTTCAGAAAACGACCTTTAGTACAAAACTAATAACGAAAGATGCAATGAAGCTTCAGTAGTTTTAATTTTATTTGCTAACATGGATAACCTTATTTTCAGAGCGCATCAAAATATTAACATAACTTGAACTTGAAATTACGCTTCTAAGGGTTGACTTTTCAATAGTCAGATAAATGTTATCTGAGGAATAAAATTGTTGCTGTCACTGACTTACATAAACATTCTGACGCGATAGCATCATAATTATTCCCTCGATAACTTTTATCTAACCATTGAAAAATCAACCCTAGACAATGATATTATAAGTAAAAAAGGTGTAGATAGGTTTCATGGACAACATTCGATCTTCAAAAACAGAACACTAACGCTTAGATGTCAAAGTGGGATGGCATGATTCAATAATCGCAAGTGAAAAAGAGACAAAAATGAAAAAGTTTGGCTTATAACCTATTTACTTATAATACCATTGCTTCTTAATATATCTTTTTAAATATTATTCTTAAATGAACGCAAAATCAGACATTTTAAATAGGTACGTTTCTTTACATGCAAAATTAAATATAGGTAATAAACGACCGCGATATTAATAATTTACTAAAAACAAAAATGAAGATTCGTCTACTTAAAACAATGTTAAAATTCGCTACAAAATTACAAAATGATTTGAAAAACCAATTTATTTATAAAAGAAAAATAAAAATTCAGATCTAAATTAATCAGTCTATCGAAAAAAATAAAATATAGATTAAAAAATAGGCTGATGACAAAAAATAAAAGAAAAAAAAATTGAAATTAACTTTTTACGATACAGCATCAATACGCGAATAACAACTTTATAGACGTCACAATAAGTATCAATACCATTTCCTTGGCGATCTTAAGACTGGACATTTGATCTTTTAAAGATTCTAAAGCCTTAGACGTTGAGGTAGACGTGTCCTGAAATGGACCTCGTTTGTCAAACGTAGTGTAGGACAGGTCCAGTCAGGTTTGATACCCGTAAGGTAGTTAAATGAGAAAATCTGAATGTCTAGCCTAGTGACACGCAATTGGGTAGGTTGCTATGTCCAAAATAAATTAATTCCATATTTCAATATATTATAATATTGAAAAATAGCTTTACTTTTAATTATCTCTGTCAATACTCTAAAATTTTCGATATATTTAGCTATTTTTAAGAATAAGTAAGCTAAGTGATGGAAAAATACTATGACGTCTACAGTTTCATACGAATTTTATAGAAAAATATCGTTTTTGATATTGAATATAAGTATTGAGCTTGACTAGTTGGAAACTACCGGATAGGAGAGTCCTATGTCTAGAAGGGGACGGAATCGAAGTCATAATGATGATAGCTATAGAAATCATCAAAGATCCATTTTTAAAACAAATAGTATCTATCTGTCTTAGCCCACAAACTTAATCAACCGATCAACAAGCGGCCTGAAAGATTGGCTAGTAATAATTCCACTTAGATTAATACGATAAAAATGGATTTTTGTTAAATGACCGAATGTATTGCCATTTGTACAGAAAAGCTACCAGATTGGTAGGTTTAGTTACGGTAGAAATGTGACCTCAAAAATCTAATTATTATTAGAAGGAAACTGATATCAGGATTTTGAACACTGCCATTTATTAGACAAATGGTCATTACTTTGATGGCTAATTAAGCTAATTGGCTATAACGTGGGCTGGTACATATCTGGCATATATACCTAGCAGGATGGTAAGGGGAGAAGTATAGTTAAAATATTACCAAAATCACAATTAACCAGTCTTAATTCGCCATAATGGTAGCATAAAATAATCTAATGTCAAGAAAACACTATTAAGCTGTATTTAAAAAAGTTAATTCCAATTTTAAATTACACATAACAGATTACAAAAGATACCTTACCTTTATTCGTTAAGTAGGTCCAAGCATTTACAAAAAAAAAAAAAATATATTTTATGAAGCTGCATTCATCACCATTTTTATGATTTTGACATAAAGTCCAAATTCGCTTGACTCAGCTGTCGCAGGTTTGTAGAAGATCATAAATGCTTGATGTTACTTAAACAAGAGAATACAGTTGCCTTACAAGAAAATTAAAATACTGATTTGGAGCTACACCTTATAAGAACTAAACTAAACTTATACTTTTGCACCTCCTTTCTCCATTCGAAAAATGATTTGATTACTTACTTATTTAATAATAACATAATTCAATACAAATATATGATTGGCACCTTACTTGACGTTTTATAAATATGAATGTATTTTTATTGACAAAATATAAAAAGAAGCCTCGAAAAGTTGCGAGAGGAAACTTTATTTTATTTGATTACACATATCTTAAAAATTATAAATTTAGTAGTAGTATCTTGTATATTCATATAACTAAAATGCCAATCATATTTACATTACAATATTAAAAATTAATAACAATGGCAGTGGGTAGATTCTTAGCCTAATAATAATAATATAATAGGTTTATCGATACATTTATTTTTATATAGTATAAAGATGGCAACATTAATAGGCTTTTGGCTACATGGGAGTTAGAAAAAATTTCGCCTACAGTTATAATTTCTGGAGATCTTTTTAATCCATTTTTTTGTAATTAAATTAATATATATTTGAATGAGATTCGATCAGATCCATAGTTACGATAACGTCTATGAGGTTCAAAGATAATTAAAAAAACTTAGGATGAACTTGAACTTGAACTGCTTTGGACAAACAGCTGTTTTACTCTAATTTCGCATAAGTCTTTTAGACGGCGGTCAAGATGTGTTCCAAACATCATACAACAATATTGACCACAATAAAGAAGTCACATTTATTCACAGATAGGTTGTAAAAACTTGCCATTCTTGGCTTAAGTACAATAAAGTTATTAGATCTCCAGATAATCCTATAATCCCAATTTAACAGCACCAGATAGAATACTGATTTCAACGTTTACAAGCTTACAATAATAGCGTATAGTATACATGTTTTTGGAAGGAAAATTTATTGCAATATAATTTTGTTAATCATAAATTTATTTATGTTCGAATTTATTTATTTGACACATTTAAAATATATTTTTATAAATGATTTTTTTTTACATTTTTTAAAGGAATTTAATAATATAATAGTGTTTATTTTGACAATAACATTATACTGGCCTAAGTTGCCTACAGTTGTCAACAAAATCCAGTGTATGTTTCGACTGGATGTTGTTATTATTTATTGTTACAATGTTGTTCATAAAGATTATTTAATTTCCAAATCATAATAAGGTTAATTAAATCTATTATATTAATCTCCATCCCGCCTATAAGAGATAAAACAAATTCCTCATTTAAAATGAAGGCCATAATCTAGAAAATGGACGGCCCCGGATTGTTTATAATGATTGCACAAAAATTACATTGCAATAAACCCCTAAAAATACAGAAATACAGCTGCATCTACTGCGTTTCTTCATTATCAGCGTCGTTATGTATTTCATAGCTTGATATAGTTATTCTTGACGTTTCACATCTTAAATGTGTTATTTCCACCTGTTTAGCAAAATAAAATAATCAATTTACTGTAAAAAAAATTAAACCACAGGTTTAATTAAAAGTGTTTTTTTGTGACACTAGATGGCGCTAGTATAGTTTTACGTCCTCAAACTTTTAATAGATGTAGAGGGAAAAGCTATTTTCGGACCATTAAAAGTCACGAGGCATCTAGTCGCCTATGCATTCGGCAGGAATATTATGGTATTTGGCCTATTTTATGGAATAAGTGGGTAATTGCAGCAAAAAATCGGAATCACTTGATATACACGTGATCGCCGCCTATGGATGTTTGGACATTATCAACACTAAGGAGTTCCAATCCTTAATTAGTTTAGTTATCAAATTATTGAAGGATGAAGAAAAAGGGTGAAAATGTCCGATTCTTTTTTAACATTTGTTTTGAAGTCATTTTACATAAATGTTATGCTATACTATGACTACACTACTGTTGTAGTGATATTAACTAATTTATTCAAAAGGATTAAAACCGCATACAGAAGACTAGTCTACTATCATATTATAAGAATAAATATTTTAGTCATTGTTAATATTCATATTAGTTTTAGTCGTAAGTAAATTAAATGAAATAGCTTCAAATATAATTTATATTAATTATAACAGAACTCGTCTATTTGTTTTCTATAAGCAGTTATTTCTTTTTTAATTTGCCTACGACTTTATACCATAATTTATTATTATGAATTTAAAAATCTTACCCTTTTCAAGGAGTTATCCATATTAAACTAAATTTAGGAATTTCAGCTTTTAGTCAGCCATTGGATAAGCTTGAAGCATGAATTCTACTATTTTAGTAGGTTTTTAATAAAATGGCAATACTAAAGGGTAGAAATATTAAGAACGGGCAAATACAATCCAACTAGGTAATTAGTATGTTACCTTGAAATTATAAACGAACAATAAGCATTTTTGGGTTAAATTTTCTACGTTACGTAATCTATGTACGACAGAAAGATATATTCTATTGAAACAACGCAACGGTGAAAACATTTTTGAATTGAATTTAGAGGACTTAAAACATCTTGATAAATGCAATACAAGACTTCAAAGAATACTCTTATAAAATCTTGATAAATAGTTATATATTTTACAATAACTTTTATAGTTGTGTTTTTTTTTTATATTTATCTCATCTACACTGACTATTTCGTCTGTTTAAAAGACCAGTAGATAATCCATTCAATATTTCATGTCCTTGTTAATTAAAATGTGTATCCTTCCTTATTAAAAAACAGATGTTATTTCAATATCAATACCTTCATAACTAGTATGGTTTTGTTTTTATATTTATCTGGTAGGGATGGCGTTATAAAAGGTGTATAGCTCCATCTCTCTTTGTCGCCCGGAAGATTGACACTTTAACACGTCATGGTAGGCCTACTGTACTGGCTATTGCAGCCAATAAAATGAAAAAAATACTATTATTTCAATATTTTTATGACGTCGGTCTGCCGACGTACATGTCTAAGAACGAACTACGAAATTGAAAGGAAACGAAAACAAAATGAACCAAAAATCGGGTTCAAAAATCATGGACCGTTAGATTTTTTCTCAAATATTTTATTCTACATGTCGGTCGTTTTAAATAGTTAACAACAACAAAATATACATTATATTATATTATTGATATATTATTATAGTAACAACGTCGAGAAACGTAACACTTTATACACGCCAGACTACGTTTTTGTAAGGGTGACCAGTGGAAAATTATTTTTTAGAAAATTTTTTGTGCAGCCGAAATTAATGTCCGATTTAAATCTATATAACGTCGTTCATATTGCAATTAGTTCTAAGTATGTCAAAAATTACAATTTTACAGGAGAGGAAAAAAATCTAAAATAAATGGACCATTATATTTTTCAACGAATGATTTTTAGCTTTTTTAGCAATTTTATGAAACATTTCGGCCGTGTTTAAATATAAAATGAAAGCGTATCTAAGTAATAAACAAAAAAATTTTGACATTGAACTAATTGCATGCATATATATTATGTAGATGTTTGACAATAAACAGCTTACTAACGATATATGTATTATCTATAATTGATTAAAAACTTGGATTCTACAGCGTTATTATGCAGGAAAGCTCTACTATTATAGATTAAAATAACATCGGGAACTAAAACGAATCCCAATTCAAATTGGATTGTAATCAATTTGACACATGAGTCCTGTTAAGTAATAAAGGACGATCAAATTTGTGGTCCTCTTAAAAATGTCGGAAATTAATATCCTGTTTTGTAGATTATTTAATATGTTGTGTAAAAGATTTTTTATTTTATTCATGTCACAATTGTTTTTTATCCGGAGAGTGACATAGGCTCATTTTTAGCGACATAAATTCAGTTTTATTATAGATGTAGATTAATCCCCTCATAATGGGCGGCCAATTCTAAACTAGAGAAAAACAATCCAACCTATAATGATTGTCATTTTTTAAATTTTATTTTGCGCTTATTTTAAACCTTTTAACAGACCCATTTAACCAGTTCAACAGAAGTAAGAACCAATTTTAATAAATAAAATATCATCGCATATCAATCTGACATTCATGAATATTTTATATGTGCAAGTGCATCGTCATAAAATGTATGCTTTCAAATAATTTTGTAGTTATCTAACATGTTTGCCGTTACACATCCCTAATAACCATAAAAGGAGATGTAAATTTTACCATTTAGTTCGTTTGAACACAGAATTGCTAACAACTTTAACACAATTAAAGAATATATAGTCGAAATGTTATTCGTAATTAAAATAATTAACAAATAAATATTTGTCTAAACTACACGCAATACTACGCTACTCATACAATTTGTACTGCAACAGTGATCCTACGCTGAACACATTTATTTATTACTATTAAATATAATCATTTGATTTAATACAATCATTCATTTCAACCAATGAAAGGTCACCACTTACAAAAAAGTTTCATTTTTAATATAATAATTAATCTGTAAGTACTTTTACGTTTGTACAGTAAATGTTACGAAATCTATGTTTAAAAAAATGGTCAATGTATTTATAATTATGATCTATAACATCTGCTATATTATTTCGATTTATTAGAAAACGCTGTCAACTTCAACTCGGTCAATTTTAAAAGCTTTCAGAAATATATTTTGATTTGTGAAGTAAAAATACTTACAGATCCTCAAACAGTCGATAAATAGTATTACACTCACAAGAAAGCGGATTAATATGTATTTTAAAAGCGAACAACAAATTGCTTTAGTTAACTGACAACCTTGAATTATTACATTAAAAATTATTAATTTTATAAACACGAAACTTGGTAGATTTTGGTCGACTTGTGTTGGCAACACTGGATCTCGTGGCAGTTACTTTTAAAAAAAGGAAGTTCTGTTTTCAAATACTCGTTTTTGTACTATACCAACGAATTGATATGATTTCTTACGAACGATTGGACGCGCATACACTAATTGTTATACAAAATAAAATAACTATCTCAGTGGTACGCAAATGCGATTATAAATACCGGCTCTTCGATAGTGTTTAAGAATTAGGGATGTTGCAAGAACAAAAATAAAATTAGACATATTTGACAAACACGACGAAAAAATAACTATTTTCTCTATTTAATGTCGGCTAGCATAATAGTAAATCAACAATACGAAACTTTTTTCATAATAATTTTAGAAAAAGGGACAACATCCTACCAAATCCTTTAAAAAGGTTCGATATTTTGATGCGAAAATCTTACCGATATCTCGTTAGTTGATCATTGAATCGATTTAATAGTTTTTTCACTCGATCGTTAAGCGTCAGCCGGTATTTAAATACAGGGTGTGCAAAGTTGTGTTAATATAGATATTATTATATTCACGTTATCCACACATACTTTTGTCATGATAACACCCTGTTTTAATATCTATATCCACTAATATGTGACGAGATCAGTCAATTGCTGAATATGATTAAGATGAAGTCAGTCGAAACCTCTATTTTAAGACTTATTTAATAGATGAAGTACCTGAATAATTGTATTAAACAAAAAAAAAATGGCATGACTTTGCAAAAGTTGAAAATTTTCATTTAACAAATTTAGATAAAAATATAAACATAATTATACTATTAAATAAGTCTCAAAGTACAAAAATTAATATTAAAATTATTACTTACTACACAATAGCTAAGTTATAGTCCTAAAAAACATTTCTCGTTTAAGTTTTTTTAATAAAAAAATGGGTCCGTCTCTTTGGCAATTTCTTTTTTTATATATTTTCGAAAAACGGCGTTACGACACACAACTAGCGTTTCTTTATACGAATATTTAATTCAACAAGATAATTTTGCAACACTTACAAGTTAGATTTTGAGAATAGGCTTACACGCCATTTATTGCTAAGTTTCATTTAAAAAAAAACAATAAACAAAAACAGTTTTTTGCGTCATTTTTTGAAAGCATTCTTCACTGTGGAAGCACCCAATAATGTTGTGTATATTTTCCGCTGATATTTCGGTATTGCCATTATAGAAAACGTTCCTAACAAGCTAGCATCATAAAACAGTTTTTAAGCGTTTTATAAATATGTTTTTTTATGATATTACAAATCATTTGTAATCCTTTTCTACTTTTTCTTTTAGATGCAACTAGATCCATCCGAAGCATCGTAAGCAGCGTCCAAGGGAAACAGGCAAGAGTTAATAATGCTTCTGCACAATGCATTTTCGTAAAAATATCAGAATGTGATTAAGTGGGATTGCGTGTTGGCTAATTGATTTGTATTAGAAATTATTTTTGTGGTTAAAAGTTTAATTATTAGTGGTAATAAAGTATTTAGTATTTATTGAAAACAAGAATAATTTCCAATAACAAAACTAAATCGTTAGTAGAAATAAACGAGAAAACAAAGTGATTCTCAATTTTACTCTGTTTTTTGAACGTACTATATAATGGGGGCACGATAGTGCACAGCCAAGTCACACAATTTTTTTTCTCGTTCATTCGAATCACAGAAAGCAGTAGCGTGTTATATACTTGTTAGTGTGGATATAAAACCTAGGTGAGTATATTATTTACTTACCCTCACATACCAGTAATTCATAATAAGTTTTTTTGCAAAAGAACGGTTGATTAGATTGAATAAGCACATTATTCTGATAATATAATGAACTGACGTTTGATACTTTTACACAAAAAAAGTAACTATCGAAAGGCCCTGAATAGTTCTTTGGCAAATGGCACTGCGGGTTATGCCGCTGCCAGGGGCTAGGTTTAACAATTGAATAAAAGTGTTTTGCAGTAGTATGGTGCAACTAGATAAGATTTCAAATACGCGAAGGCTCTTTGCCAGTTAAGTATTGAAGTAAGACAAAAGAGTTATTTGTAATGTTCAAATCAATTTTAGTAAAATGAATTTAAGTAATAAATGCAATTTAATCAACCGTTCTTTTACAGGAGGCTATCGATTTTGCCTTAAATTATATCAATGTATGGGATGGCAAATAAAATCTTTCGGTGCAATCTATATCAAAACTTCAAAAAAATCGTTAATTTTGTAAAGTTTTGAAGAACAAAATCGATAGCTCTCAACACGCCAATAAAAGTTGAATTCTCTTCATATTTAAGAGTTCAACTTATATTGGTTTAACCTGTGTGCAATTGTTTATACCAATCACCTCATTAAGAAATAATGAAAAATATATAAAATTACAATTAAAGAACTCACCACTTCGCTGGTAAGACAGTTGATGGTAGTGGGGGGGATTGCGCGCGCAGGCGGCGGTGGGGGGCGCGGTGAGCGACGCCCGTCGCGACTGTCACACGGCGTGGCGCCACGGGCTGGTGTTATGGGGTAGCCTGTAGTATGTATGTTGTTGAGTTGTTATTCTAAATAAGGCTTACATCGATTTTAGAAGTATGTTTGAATACGGGACTTAATGAGTGATTTCGTGGACTCGAGTCGACATTTCACAAATAAACGTTATCCCTAATCCCCAAAAGGTCAGCAACGCACTCATAACTCCATGGGCGGCGCTGATTGCTTACCATCAGGTAATCGGTATACTTGTTTGTCGACCTATGACAAAAAAAAATGTAATTTACATTTAAACCTACCTTGTTCACTACTACTAGACTCGGTGAAACTGGGCGTGCCCTCAGTCCATGTTGGGGTGGAGCCTTCGACAGACGCTGGCGGGGTCCAACATACACTGAAACACCGTTGTAATATTTACATTAACTATTATTTATTACATTATCACTATCAAACAATTAAACCAAATTAGAGTTTATAGTTTGAACAACTAAACCGTCAAAGAACGCTGCACTACGATTTCCGATGTGGACGCGGATACATTTAGAAAAACACAAGATAATTTGGTACAAATAGAATCTTTTTTTAGAAAAGTGTCAAATCTTTTTATTTGACCATATGAAATACATAATATAGCCTAATCTAAAACTTAACACACTCTTTTGTATGAATTCTTTATACCAATAACAGTGTATTAAAGAAAATTTTCATTTTACCTGGCTTCATTACTGCGTGCACTACTCAAAGCCGCGGGCGTCAGAGCCAAAGATGACGCGGATGACGTTGTCATCACGCTGGCAGCGCTTGACGCACCACGGCGTCTCCCTGACGCACTCGATGATGTCGTCGATGAGGAGTTAGTGCGACTGGTTCTTGGAGGCGGTGCCTCTTCGAAGGGGGGTGGAGGTGTTGAACAACACGACAACGGCGCACCGCCTGAAGGGTAACTAGCGTTACTACTTAGACTAGCCGTAAGTTGAGGAAGAATTTGTTTGAAGATTCTACTCAAATTGGTATCTAAGGTTGACAACAAAGGTAGGTTCAAGATTCTACTAACATTTAATAGAAGAGGGTCTACAGTGATGATAAAAGGATATGGTGGTGGGATTATAAATTTACAAAGGAATGTACGTGATGCGTGCGTGACCTTTTGAAAAAGTTAAGTTGGGAAAAAGTGCATTGAAAAAATGAGACGAGATTAAAAATACATTATGGTATATTTTATCACCCAATTAAACGTTCAAAAAGCAAATTTTATTTATACTTCATCTATAATTTTAATCTCGTCTCATCAGCATTACTGTGCTAATAATGGGTGTTTAATATTTCCAATTTTACGCAAGCCATAGTTCTGTAATTATTCAAAATGAACCTAATTGGTTAACCAATTTAACATGTCCAAATACTAAATAAATAATGCATTAATATTTGAAAACAGTAACAGGACGAGAAGTCTCAAAATTAAAGAAATTAGTCGGTTATTTTAGGAATTTCAGTTATTAATAGATTCCCAACTTCAAATAGATCCAAGGCTTAGTGACCGATACTTGTTGTTTTCATTGCAGGAATTCTCGACCCATTATTAGTTTTATTTCAGTATTTGGACTTAAGCTTTCCTTAAAGGAATGGAGTATTTCTAGGAACATGAAGGATTTCGTAATTAAAAATACCTGTTGATTAGCTTTTGTAATAACATTTTAATGTTTTTATTATCGACCTTATTAGGTCGATAGTACAGATACAAATAAATGAATGAAATAGTGGTTTCGTAAATAATTCTGTCTTCATTAACGAAGCTTCAAAAACTGCAAATATCTACTACTTAGATATAATTTGAAGTTTCGTCCAGCCGAAATGTATTGCAAAGAGAAATAATATTCAAAGCATTACGCAGAGTCGGCAATATCTTTAATAAAAAAAATGAGAATAAAACTTTTAATTCTTGAAAATAGTTTACTATTTCAAAATCTAGAGGTCAAATCTCATTATACTAGTATTTCTAAAGGTGACAATAATTCTACAATAAATTCTAAAATGAGTGATCATAGCAACTACTGAAGTGAAAACTATTCGCGTGTAATTTTGTTAATATTTTAATAATGAAAACATGCATTTATTTTAAAGAAGTAAGTGTCGTATTAGATGATACGGAACATATTAAAGCGCCATCTAGTAAGCGAGCTTGACAACCTCTATTTACAATTTAATTAAAAGCCGTTTTCTTAAGAAATACTAACAAAATCACTCACGTAAGATGTAAACGTGAATATTTAAAAACTACAGCTCTATTGGAGAGGAATATAGAAGGAGAAAGAATTATAATAAACTATGAAGAATTAAACGACCGAGCAAACAACATAAAAATACACTCAATAAAAAATATGGCAGTAATTACGGATCACAACACATTCTAAAACGTCTACATGCTAAACTAACAACAACAACAAAATTATATTTTGATAAAATTGGCTTTGAGCCCCGCACAGAAACGTTTTTTGAATCCAGCTTGCTAAATTATTGTCTTGGCTTTTTAATATTCTCTTCTACTTTTAAAACGTATCTCTCTTTTTTTATTTAAATTCTCTTTTACAATATCTCTTCTACATCTTTCCTCATTTTAATCACAATCTTCTTAGCCGATTTCTTCTTGAAGCTACTCTTTTTCTTCCTCGGAATTTTATTCGGTGTCTTCGTCAATGGCGTCTCGGAAAACTGTTTAATCTTTTCGTGCACATTACCACTTATTGACTTCGAAACTACTGGATTTAAAGCGGTAGTTGCCAGGGAAAAATGTTTTCTGTCAACTGATGTTAAACTTCCATGAGTATATTCGATAGGTTCAAAAACTTTCTTCGTCTCTTTTACTAATCTTTGTGTATCGATATGTTTATCAGACTTCTTACTATCTTGTGACGAAGACAATGAGCTCCGTCTAGAACTATCGGAATCAGTTTGAACTTTATAAATATGCTTTTGGAACATATCAATTTTAGTTTTGGCTTTCTTGTGGCATATAGCTTCATCTTTGGTCATTCCTTGCTTATATGTTCTTATTTCTACTTTTGGTTTCGGTTTTTTGTCCTGTATTCGGTTTTTATCTCTTTTAGACTGATTGAAGTTTAATTTCTTTGTTATACCAGAAATTATACCTTGTTTGGATCCGTTTTTGTCAGTTTTAGAATCCAGTTCTGATTGTGTACTTGGTTCCGTTATCTTTTTCTCAGCTGGAGCTACTTTCTTTAATGTCCTGGCTGCTGATATTAAATCAGATGACTTGATATTATGAACACTGACTTTTTCCGATGATGAATCCAAGTTTATTTGAGTTCTGCCCGTTAATTTATCACCAATCTGGGTTACTACTTCTTTCACAAATTGCGATGGACTTCTTGATTGTTTAGCCCTTGTTTCTTCAACGTCATTTTTTATTTCTTCTATAACAATACGTTCTTCGCTACTTGACTCCGTCAGAGAGGTATCATCATAATCACCTGAGTCTAAATGCTCTCTCAAAACTTTATCAATATTGAATTTGGCCATCATTGAAGTTTGAGCAATCAAATCTTTACCAAGGTGAGATCTCTCCGTGATACTGTCAGCTTCCTCTACGAAGTCTAAGAAAGAATTCGATGCAACTAATTTGGTGATTTTAACAGAACTGTTGGATACAGACGGTGGGATGCGACATGCAGTGGGTTCTTTAAACTTAAAATCATGCCCATAAAAGCAGAAATCGTCATCGCTGCTAGTGATAGGTGTCTGCGGAGGGATATCACTCACAGAGATGCTTAAATTCGGATAATCACCTTTCGTGTCGATGCTAGACGCTTGGGAGGCGGCACCTCCTCGCTTAGCTTTGGGAGACCCTCTCGGAGGTACTGGGGGAGGGACTCTCTGCTTTTGCGAGCCTTTCAAGACAGCTGGGAACGCGATGTCGGGCTCTGACGCGGCCGTCGTCGTCTTAGCCGACGACATTGTGACTTTAGCGGCCGTAGACACCGGTGACGTCACCGATATCGGCGTTATATGTGCTGTCACATCCGATAAAGAAACTGGCGATCGACAAAAACGCTCAACATTTTGTATAGGTTTATTAATAATACAATAAAAATACACAATAGAATTGTATAAACGGAAAATTTGGCACATTAGAAAACAATTTGATTAATAAGTATAAGAATAATATTAACAATAAAAAATATTTTAAAAGATTTGTGTATCAATGGAAGCGTAGTTACAGTAAGACGGGTTTCACGTAATATTACATATCCAAAATGGCATGTTTAAATTTATATTTTTTAGATGGAGCTTGACCGTTTAAATAACGTATTTTTTATTGGTGCATCAAGTTTTATGTTAGATTATAAATTAAATAATAATACAGCATGCAGATTTAGGGAGTGGAAATAAAAGCAAAAATTGATGATATACCCAATAAGAAAAAGTTCCAATAAGGCCAGAGCAGCATGAAAAAAGGGGAGATAACATGACCATAAGTTTCTTTATACAAAACAGGAACATAGTTACTGAAGAATAAAATAAAAGTGAACTTTTGCATAACACCCACTTTTCCGTCAGTTATGTAATTAGTCTCTTAATAACAATACTGACGAATTGTTCACCACATCAATATAATAAAATTTATATAGAATAGAATTAACCAAAGACGCCTTGGACGGCTTGACCACCAAGGTGGAGAGTTTAATTATTAAAGTTTCGTTTTCAAGCAAAAAGCGTAGCAAGGGACAAAAAATACAGTGACTGAAATACCACAACAAATTTGTGTCGAATCAGTGTAATAAAAATTAAAGGAAGGTGACAAATATTTTTTGGAATGTTCAAAATTTAAGTTGACATTTAGAAGCGAAAGCAACATCGATCTTTGTGATGTGTTCAGTTAACTTTGCATTGAAAATAAAGCTGCAAATAATTTTGAAATAACGAAAACTACATTCAGCCAATTGTATAAATGATTATTGATTGAAATGATTTAATGAAAGTGAAACTGTTATTATTTTAGTTTTTATTAATTTAAAAGTGTACACCTTGCTACACTTCTTGTTAATTTATAATATTTAATGGATGTTCTATAACCACCTTATTTTACTTTTTAAAATATAGATTATTTAAATGCCACTAAATGTCTTTTAAAAAGGCATGTTTTAATGCGAATAATAACATAACTGGCAAAGTCTTGTCCTGTCTCATCTAATAATAAAACATAAAATATTTATTAAATTTTTTTGATTCTTTTTTTTGCCTTAACGACAACAATCATGACACGCCACATTACGACATTCACTCTCACCTGCTTTCACGCTGGCGACCCCACTCGATCCGGCTCCTATCCATTTGATAGCGTGAAAATATTACGTCACATTTGTCAAAAAATAATATACAACCATTTTTGTAGAAACAAAATATTGAACTTGGCTATTCACTACCATGCACCCAAATGTATGTAAAGTCATACATTTTTTTTTACATAAATAATTTAAGACAGACTAAAAATATATTGTAAATTTCATATAGGCAATAAAAAAAAAAAAACAAAATCATCCAACAAATCATCATTTATTATCATAATATATACATAAAATTTTGGTCAAACAGCTCATTCGGCGTACAATACTCTTAAACTACGCATGTATACTAACCATTTACAAAGACACGTTTTTTTTTATACAACATAACTTTTGTTCGCAACTGCACTTAGAAGGCACGTTAAGAAATCTATTAATAAGAATCTAAGGATTGGAATTGCTAGCCATCAGACGGATTGCAGCCAAGCACTATTTTACATGATTTAACAAGGTTTTTTTAAGGGATATAGTGGCAATCGAGCACTCTTTTCACTTGGTCGTTGCTACCCATGGACACTCGCAACACTGGAGGACCTTTTTACAATTGCGTTGCCGGGCGGTCTTTTGCGGAATATTATATTTAAAAAGCGCTTATCACCGGCGTGCTAGTTCGAATTGATAAATATTTTCGTCCTTGAAATGGACCATCTATTTATATCAAAGAAGCTATATGGTGAGTTAAACAACGGACATGTAGCTGATATATGAATTGCCGACAGTTTCACCACTGATAAAGGACCTGATATTTTTAACTGGTAGATAATTCATACAAATAACTTCCTCATGTAGTAGATTTTGGCTAACCAGAGCCTTTAAAGGGGGTCATAAAAGAGCAGGAAGCAGTAAAGAACAAAAGTTTTGTAGATAAAAAAATTGAGCTCACAGACAAACATACTTCCATTTAATCTCAATTATTGTGAAAGTTACATTATTAAATTAGGAATATAGTCGATAGTGTATTAAATATTTTAATGGTGCTTATTTTAAAATGGTACTATACAATGAAAACATTTTATCAAACCTCGCATGACATAACTAAATAATATTTGATCCAAATATATAATTCAGCACAATTCTCTGTCAGTAAAAAGAGATATATTTCAAATATATTTCATAATAATTTCATTTAGTCACGTACATGGGAAGTACAGCACAATAATTAGTCATATACGTCATAGCACGAAACTTTCTGACAGCTGTCAAACGTGTAAACGTCAATGTCAATTTTGACAGCTGTCAATGTGATCTATCTTGGTTAAAAAAATATTAAAACAATCTTATTTTGGTAGGTAGGTATCTAGTGGTACATATTTGTTTGTGTTAAATTGTGACACGTAAAATACTTTTTGTGTAGATACAATAGGAATGTTTCTTAATAAATAAAAAATAAATATTTATCAATTGCATTTGTTCAAATTATCAATTTTATTACGGAAGTATTCATTTAGTTCATTGAAGACGATAAAAGCCAGTTTTACAGTACCTGATATATTAAACTGAAGGGATTAATAATAATTTACTTCAATTTTAATGTTATACAGTTATAATTTTATAGCCTATGACGCCTTTAAAGGAGATACTAGCATATTAAATGATAACACATTTTATAATTAAATAAACAATACGGCTTACTCCTGTAACTGTTAAAGAACGTTCGACTTTCTAGTTTCAGGCTCACGATTGTGAGCCCCAGTCGTAGTTTGAAACTATTCGAGTACATTCTTTAAATTTTCATTGAATCGTACTTGATTTTAGCATTCACATAATTTAAAGGTAATTTTTTTATTGATATGCTAGCATCTTCATTACAATTTACTATTTGGAAGACATTTGTAATAATACTCCATAGAGCTTGACATAAAAGAAACACAAATAAAAAATCAGTCCTGCTTTAAGATATCAATTTTTTGAGAAAACACCAAAACATATCACTTTATTTTATATTATGCAGTGTGTATTCCATATGTTGACCGTTAACGAGAGACAGAAAATTAAAAAAAAGGAAAATTGTAATTGTAAAATAACCTTTAAAAAACTGATTTAAACATTTATACGATGCATGTTAAAAAAGATAAATACCAGGAAAATACAGACACCACGTATAAATTATGATAAAAACATTACATTTTCTTCAAATAAATTAACAAATTATCAAACAAAACTAAATAAGATGTCCCAGTAGGTATAGCTATTGTTTCAGAAGACCACAATTTTAGTATAATTCAAAAAAGGTGGTCTCAGAAAAACAACACCTTTAAAATTCACACATAAAGCGGAATACATTTCAAACAAAAACTCGTATTGGGATCTGCTTAAACTTCACAAAAGAATCAAAACGTACATACAATAACATCAAAATCTTTGATATAGTAGAAATGCACAGATACCAGGCATAATCGAATTCATTCCAACTTCAACCTAATCATATTGTTTTTAAAGTTTAAAATCTTTGAAGACAACACCAAAAATCTATCCTTAAAGACTTAAAGCGACACTAGCGCCATCTGAGCAGCGAAAATTTTCATTGGACTATGAATGAGACTTGTTTTTCGAGAACATAGTTGAAGATTAAATACTGTATAATATATTAATTTGATTAATCATATATTGGTGAAATGAGGTACTGTGTCTTAAGTGCGATTGACGAATAATTATATTATTTTACGACTTTGGCATTCACACACATACTTTTCATAACAAATATTTGAACCATAGTGATAAATAATAAATTTGCTATTTCTTTCTTGTTTTCAGCAAAGTATAAACAGGTATGCGTTTCAATAGAAAATTTCATGATGTATTTGAGAAAGGCACTAGACTTAACTAGTTTTTAAGGTAACAGTTTAGTATAAATACATAATATATCGGGTTGATATATTGTGAATAAATATTTGCTTGGCTGATAAGCAATAATAATAATAATAATTGAGGACGTTTATATACCATATATAATCACATTTCATAATTGACATTTAAAATTTGTTGCCAATGTTAAATTAGGTTCTAATAGGCACGAGTCACTTTATCAATATTAATTATTTTTTTGAAAATATTAGCCAAGTCGTTGAATAAATTTTACTACCGTCAAAAAGACTGTTATGTACTAAAAATATAAACTAAGTCTTTTAACAGAATCGATAACAATCCTCTCACTACATCGATAGATCGCAAAGTAATAACTTAAGAACAGTATTTTATCGACAACTCCCAATATATGTACACTACAATTTATATCGATTACAGAATCGATAGATCGGGTCTGAATCTATCGATATACTTTTGTGATACCATTATTTCGATGAGAGTTATTCAATCGGCTGGCGGTACAAATATAATGGTGCTTCCACTATCTTTGCCGGAATAAATTTGAGCTTTTTCTATACTTCTCACATACACAACTTCTTTTACGAAGGTTTCAGATTCTTCTTTCAAATTCATATGTTCATCGCCGTTCAGTTGTACAACTGACACATGTTTCGATATCTGTAGGTTTTTCTCAGACATCACTGGAGATTCTGGTTTGATGTAGACTGTTTGCGTTGACCGTACTTTACGGAAACGCATGTCCTTTGGTAAAGTCGCTGTTTCTCTAGCCTCTAGACTAGGCGTCGTACTCTTTCTGTAACTCGAACCCAAGCTTTTAGGTAACGTGTTCGAGTTTTCTGCAGCCAAAGTGCTATCAGTTTTGACTAAACCAATATCGACGAAGAATTTCTTGAATTTCTCAACGAAAGTCGGCGATTTCGCTCTGTTGAGGCTGTTCGTTAGTCTTTCGTTTGATTGTTCTTTGGAAGAAACCTCGTCGATTCTCTCTGGAATGTTTGAAGTGCTTTTATGTTTTTCTAGAATATTCGAGCGTCGTTTCCATTTCGATTCTTCGTCCTCGTCATCTATGAAGGGTATGTCCTGTAGGTTGTTTTCGTTTCTCGTGTCAACTGCTGCGTCCTTCTTCTGCGGGTAGTTCGTCTGAGCTTCGACGTATATTTGTGGGACGCTTGTGCTTGTATTGTCTGTCTGAATGCCGCTGTCGGCGAGGCTACCGTTGATATGCGAGCTCCCAGCTCCGGTGCTTAAAACTTTGGTTAACTGATCTGATAACGTTTCCATTCTGTCCTGAATGGATGCTCTGTACACGTTATTCCCGTAGGACGTGCCTGGTTCTCGAGATATGTTCGATGTGTCGAACTCTATTCGTCTGGGGAAGGTCACTAGCCTATCTCGGTCCATTTTCAGTCTGTCTGAGAGGACTGATGGGTACTCTGTCGGCGGCTGTATGCTAGAATGCCTCTGATTCCACGTGGATATGGTGGTGTCGGTAAAATCGCTCATGCTCGATCTAACAGAAGACCTAGGCGACAGTCTCGACTGCCTTAAGAGGTCAGGGTTGTAATCTTTAATCGGTCTGCCGATGTAGATACGTCCTGGATGAAAAACGGTCAAGTCAAATAGGTTGATTGCGTTGTCTATGGTACACATTTCAGTTTATTTCTCTCCCCGGCGGCAAACCATGCTTTGGACATGTTGAGCACCAACACCGTTAGCACAAAACGAAAAACACATCACAATTTTGCTTTTTTTTTGTTTGAAAAAAAAAACGTCAAACGCGGGTAGTTCGATAAAAATGTAGGAAAAATCTACAATAGTAATAAAAATAGGAACGAAAAATAATAAGGACGATTCACAATAGCAGGGTACAAACACCGGGGTGGGGATAGGAATTGGGGGCAAAAATAAACTGAAATGTATAATAATATATGGGTACCAACTAAAGTCGCATTCAGTGTTAGGATAATTAGGGGGTCAAAACTACTATAATAATGAAAATAAATTGTAACTTGTTAATAAAATAAAACTAGTATTAGTTCTCTTTCGAATGAAGCCAGTTGAAACTTAGAGTTATATTATATTAAAATTTTAATTTTCACGACGGCTCGATTTTGGTATTTTTCTTTTAGATCGCAAATCTTTGCTGAACGAGCATGTAACGTAATCATATTACATCAAAATAATATTCATAAAATATAAATGATAACATCTTTTAAAGGATAATATATCCTTAAAAAAAACAAATTTCAAAAAAATATCACGCAATCATTCAAGTATCATGCTGTTTTATAAAAATACACATAAAAAATCGAACAAATCTAAATCAAATGGCTTCACATGAAAAAAAAATATACTAAAAAAATATTAATTTAAATAAATAAATTCTGTAAATACCTGGCGTGTCAATCTCTTCTTGTGGCCTAGCCGGTTTGGCGATGCTTTTCCGTTTCGAAGGCGAGTGCTTCAGGGCTGTTGGAAACGAGGGCTCAAATTAGACTGGTCGTCTTCGTGTGTGGCGAGTGGAATGTTGGTAAGGCGTGTTTTTTTTATTAAAATAAATAAATACTTGATTTGATGTTATTAGGAAGTATTTTTTTTACTTGTGACAGTTTTGTTTCATTGCTCAACAGCTTTTTTTGTTAGTAATTTACCAATTATATATTATATTTATTTAGAAATTGACCTTGGAATTGTATATAGAGGTCAAGGTCAATTAATTATTCTAAAGATTTTGTCTGTATTTTAAACGATTCAAGTTATAAACAATATTCATCGATAATAACAAACCTTAACAACATTCCATAAAGTTCAAATTAAAACGTTAAAATAAAAAACATCAGCTCACTATGAAAAAAGCTATTTTTCGCTAAAAAATAAACAAAACGTATTTAAAATCGCAAAATAATCGTCAAAAATGTTCTCAAAAAGCTCTTACTAAAACAGTGAAAGAATTTTGTGAAAAATATTGTTATTGAAAGATGGTAATAATCAGGAAAAGGTGATTAAAGTATCAATTAAAAAAAATATTTTAAAGAAAACAAAAGTATTTTGTCCTAATTTATTCAAATTAATGCTCCGAATAAAAAAAACACAAAATTATATTTTGAACACAACTTTACTTGACATTACCATCTTTAGCAAATAGAAAAAAAATAAGTACAAAATGAAAAATTAAATGATCATCGTATATCTTGTTAATCATTCATCATCATAATCAATAAAAAAAAATATCGAACAAACCGACATTATTTCGCATTCGAGAATTTCACCCAAAATGAAAAAAAGGAGTCCGAAATAAAAACTGCGAAATAACGTCTTCGACCAGAGATGAAATTAAAAAAGAACGAAAAAAGAAAAAGAAGAGACATAGACATAGAACGTGCTTCGAAATTCGAAAGAAACCACAGAGTAAGGGTAGCTAACTACAAAAGGGGAATGAATGAGCGTGAGCTCGATAGATGGAGCCACTTTCAATGTCGGGTACTACTGTACAAGACCATAAAAACACAACGCGGACATTGTCATAAATAAGAATAGGTCAATATTAACTCTAACACAATAGAAAAAACATATTTTTTACGATTTTGTCATCAAAAAGAATTTTAGTGAAAAAGAAATTTTAGTGTTTGAATTGTATTCTTATTTACGACATTATATCCGCCCAAAAAATACTGGAAAATTCCAAACATCGAAGGTCAAGGTCATGAAATGGGGAACAGGGTCACAAGGTCACATTCGTCATGCTTTGGGACCCCCAAAACTGGGACTTACTCAGACCTCCACGGACCCGCGCGAGTATCCGATTACGGACAATTGTCGGGAAGAAAAAATGGAAAAAAACACAGATATTATTTTCGGCTGGCAACATTGTACAAGGGCGTGCATGATCTCCGTTATACCGTCATGCGTTTGCATCCAATTTTAATATTAAAAAAAAAATCAATCGAAAATAATAATTAAAAAATCCAAATTAAAAAGTGTCTAAATACATGCCTGATTATATATTGCTCCGAACGTAAAAGAAAATTAAAATTTGAAAAATAAACTAAAAAATTTAGTCGAAAATAAATATTAAAACCACGTTATTAATTCTAATTCCTACTGAGAGGTTTAGGTGTTGGTGTTTTGTTCCTTTTTTATTATTTAAAAAAATAAAACTATTTTTTCTACTTTAACCACGACCAGAATTCTACGTAATACAAATACAGGTATAACTTTATATAACATTTAATCTATCACAGAAGCTGTTTATAAATAGATCAAACACTACGTAAAAATACATTCATTTTTAGGAAGGCTCACTAACACACGGTTTCCGAAAGGCCGATCAATGTTAAAATAAATTTAATCTCTTGTCAAGTCATCTGATTGGTTGACTGAACTGTCAACAACCAATCAGATGACTTGACAAGAGATTTAACAGGAGATTAGTTTAATTTTAGCGTTGACAAGCCTTTCAGAAACTGGGTGTAAGAGTCGAATTTAATTTAAAAAATGTATTTCTATCGAATATTTGGGGAAGCCCTTTGTTTTTATACATAAAGCATACGTCCCTTTTTATGATATATGGGACGTATTGGGTTTTAATAAAGAGAAATGTATATTGTGACTGCTAATTAGTGACCGATAATGAAACAGGTGATTCACAAAGTATTTTTTTTCTATACTCAATCTTTTTTTTTTGTTACTTGTTATAACAAACTTCGCACGACCACCTTCGTCGGCGTCGCCCGATCAGCTGTTTGCAGCAAAACCCCTTGCCTGCCAGTAATTTTGTTATAGTAATAAAAAATAAACTATTGAGTATATCAAAGAAGTTCCTTTGGAAAAGTTCTTTGTTATCATGAGTACAATAACGTATTTAAATATCAGTCACTTATTACCAGTTGTACTTTATATAACAGTTCTATTTTGATATTCTAACCCTTGATATCATACTGAGTAAATTTTTTAATGAATTCAATCATACATAACATACATACACTGTATAAACTAGCTTCAATTCTAATACAAATATCAACAACAACAGACTTTATTGTGAGGGGAAAATCATCGTATGACTTCTCCCGTCTAGGGTGGGGGCGGGAGGAAGAGTCAGACTCTTAACTGACTAAAAACCTCCCCGTTCCTTGTCCTGCTCTAGGCCAAGGCAACAACTGCAGACTTTGTGTTGTCAATAACACGTTTTTTAGTCACAAATTATTTGTTAAACAACAAACCATGCAAACATCTAATAAACACACAGTGCAGAACAACCACGTAAATTAATATAGTTTTTATTCCATAATGGAATAAGTAAAAAACTTCTACCTAAGCTACCACAGTTAACAATCAAACTCCGTGTTATTTAATCTTAATAATATTTTCTTGTATTGCACCGAGGATCGAACTCAGAAGCTTATAACAAATACAAATTCCGATATCGTGACGAACTTTTTTCGGACGTGACGAACTTTTCTCGGTACCGTGTCGAACTTTTTTCGGTCATACTCGATATGTTACGTAAAAAAACCTCACACTAAACGAAGATACGTATCTACAATTAACATCTACATATTATATCACCAACACCCGCTCCCCGTGTCACATACACACACATTATATATATAAAAATGTCACATTAATCCCTACGGTACCTATATAGGAGGTCACTAGCGTTCGGAACTTGCGATGGTTGCCCTTGATCTCAGGAAGGTCCACTGATGCAACATATTATATAGTTTTTGTTTAGTATATTTATTCTAGAGACGCGGTTTAATTGGCCTGGATTTTCAACTTGTATATTTTGTGTGGTATGGTCGATGTAACTACATGGTGTCTGTTGAATGTATATGAATGAAAACGTTCATATGTCACTGATAGTGAATTTTATATTTCCTACTATTCTGTGTGTTGAGTTTCTGTTCTAAAAGTCTTTTAAAGAAATGCATGTATGGGATCGAAAAATTATGAAAGCACAGATGTTTTATTTCCAAACTTACTTTCCAAATAATTTACAAAAACAAATGCATAATTTATACAGATAAATACAAATTCTATCTTTGATTCGTCTCTATTTGTGATGTGTGTGTAGACAACTTTTAATGTTAAGTATATGTTGAAAATCAAGGCCAAAGTTCCGCTGTTGGTTTAAAACAAATTTTGTTATAAGCTTATTATAAATTTAGAACACGGCAACGTTTTTTTTTTGGTAAAACACTTAAGCGTACACAATTTTAAGACTACTTTTATAAGCAAATGTATGGAAAAAATTTGGAGACTAAATCAAATGAAATTTTCTTTTATTCGAACGAACTTGTCTCGGGTCGAACTTTTTTCGAAACGAACTCTTTTCGAGACGAACTTTAAATGATTTTTAAAGAAAACGTAACGTCTTTCTCGCACATAGTAATTTTAAATATTACAATTATAATTTTATTTTATTTTTTATATATTTATCAGAGGTAACTTAATCCTTGCCACTCATTTAACGCTAGAGTCTTAAAATTATGTACATAACACCCTATTACAAATATAAGATCACATTTAGACGTTAGACACAAAGTTAGCAAATTATCTATTGGAGAACGACAGTTTACTAAAAAAATATAAACACGACTTCTTGTAATCAACCATAAGGTTGAAAATCGTTTGGCACATGTTATTTGAGAAACTATCTAAGACTTGAACCATTCTCAGTACTATAGGTACTTATCACGTTGATTGTTCTTTGCAAGATCAAGCAGGAAAATAAACATCGTCATATTACAAGTCGTGTCCATATTTTATATAGTAACACGGACATTTATTGGGACCTGTTTTGTATCAGCCTTATTTGGAGATGGAAAGGTTTTTCCAAGATACTGGATTGGAGAACAGATTTCTTTTCGGTATGACAGAATGATGATATTTCTTTTGTGAGGTGAAAATCAAGAAATGACTTCGTCCGTCCAGGGAGGGGCGGGAGGGAGTGTCAGACTCTTCCTGACTAAAACGCCTCCGTTCCTTCTCCTGCTCTAGGCCGAAGCAGCGGTGCCTTATAGCGCTTACCCCGCAACCCCGGCTGACAAATTGATGACTGGCAGCAATTTACAAGCCAATCTGCCTTTATTTAAAATAACATACATCTGCTTTAGGGAATCGAACCCTAAAAGCTGCAATCCAAACTAATCACAGTAGGGTGCAATTAAAACTCATGTTTATATTTAATTATAAAGAAAAAATCTTTTTCCATGTGAAAAATCTTGAATCATCTATTTTTCTTCACATTTTAACCTGACCATCTCCAAAAAGGCTATGTAAACACATAAATCTAATACATAGGGAATCTATATAATAATAATAATCATGAAAGAATAGCATGATTTTAGCTTAACTAGTGACAGGATTTTAATAGAAGAAAAATACTTTTTTATTAATAAGGTTGGTAACCCTATACTTTAGATGGCAACACTCGTTACCATAGATAAAAGATTTAGAGATCACAGAGTAGATAGAGTTAAGAAGCATAGAGTAATACTCACACGAAGGTATTTTCTTGAAAACGGTTTTAGCCATGAAATCTAAGAACCTCTGCGCGTAGAAACTCGGTCTGTGTACTGAGACGGTGTCCTGAAATTGAGAAAATCATATTAGTAGAGATATTATTTAGTCATTCTGTATCCAGCATTAAATTGACTGAGTGGAGGATTTCAAATAATATCTTCTGATTTATTTCGTTGCGGGATTTAAGACAGTCATTCATATCCTTGGGACTTCGGTATTTCGGTGTTTTCATGGTTGTATCTACTACAGGTGCTGACTTATAGAAGTCGCAGCGGGTCTGGGAGGTGGCGAGATTATCGGTATTAAAAAATATTGTGTCAACAGTGACGACCTATTTTTATACATTTAACTCACCCCGTCATGTATCATGCTCTTCCACGTGTGTTCGAGTTTCTTACGGAGCCGGTAAGACTGGAGGATGTCAATGATACCCAGGAACAAGAGGAGTCGCTCGCCGCGCGCGTTCCGAGCCGGAATACCGCCAGGACTGTGGGGAGAAAATACAAAAATTATGAATAAATTTGTTGATAAAAGTCAAGTGTGGAAGAGCCATGCTTCGGCACGAACGGGTCGTGAGTGATAGCATAACAGAAACGCGGCGTAAAACAACCGCAGCGTTTTGTTTCGCCGTGTGAGTGAGTCCAAATACCTACCTCTCCCCCCATCCCCTCTCAATCCTTAAATATGCGATGCCCTTATCGCTAAAAGGCTTGTTTGCCAAAAATACAAGTCATAACTAAGTGTGTTCGAGTCTTCCTTCGGCATGAATGGAGCAGATCGACCAGCATGATAACATGGCCTAGCAGAAAACCAGCCCCAAGTCTGGCAAAGCACTTGTAAGACTAGTTGTTGAGCGTATCCCATGGGCGTTCCGCGCGCGCCTCTAAGAGCCAATAGACCACCACAGACGGGGCTCTAAAGGGCTTATGTTCAGGTTGCGGGGTAAGCGCAATGAGGCACCGCGACCTCGGCCAGAGCAGGAGAAGGAACAGAGGGGTTTTTAGTCAGTAAGACTCTGACACTCCCTCCCGCCCGGCCCTGGGCGGGAGAAGTCATTTGATGATTTTCCCTTCACAAAAAAAAAATCCCATGGGCGTTGCTGGTTGCTTACCATCAGATCATTCAATTGCACATTTACGTATTTTCTTTTCTTTTCCTTTATTTCACCGGAGGTAATTATACTCACGGCACATCTTCCTCTTCATCAATGGGCTCGCTCTCAGCCTGTATGCTCTCCATCGCTGTGGAGTGAGCCACCAACCGCTGTCGGTTTATCGACCTGCAATTTATAAAGTATACACTTATATCGAAGAACGAGATATGTACGGTTGTTATACGCACAAGCTATGAATGAAAGAGGAGTACTCGTATTTAATTACAGTACGGCCGCTGTATCTTGGCGAGTGTGAAGTTAGCCGTTTGTCTGCGCAATAGATCTTTTAAGAACAAAAATGTAATCGGCTAACTTCAGACTCTCCAAGATACGTCGGCGCTATTGTAGTTCCTTTTTTTGGGATGAAATGTAATGTTTTCCTGGTTTCAAGTAAGAAATTTTCAAATCGGTCAATTACTTACAGAGACAATTCAAAAACAACCAAATCTTTTCTCCCTCTAACATTAATGTAGAAGTGTAGATGATTCCATATCAAACTTGTGCATATAAGCAACCATTTTGGAAAAAAACATTACAAGATTATAGGCTTGTTTCACGACCATCATACAAGTTTTCGACATACATTTCTGCTACACTTTCTCAGGTACTTAATATAGACAAGTGAATATCTAGACGTAGTGAAACAGGCCCTTAAGAACGTCGAACTAACGATTTAATGGACAACATTCAAGAAGATATACAATGTAAATGCATGCTTTTAGATTTCAGATACATTCAGTTTTTGAGGTCCCAGAGTTAAATGAACTACACTATAAGTATCGAATCCGTTACTAAAACTTTAAGCAACCCATTTCGTAATAAAATATTATTATTATTCTATATGAATTATTTATTTATTCTTTACTACCTGCTCCTGCTTCGCACGCGTATTTGACTATCTCGCTAACGATTAAAGTGTCCCTATTTCCCAGATCTCCCCTCTACAATTTTCTTCTTCATAAGAACCTTCTCTTGGCCATAACGAACACTTCAAAAAAAAAAAGAATGGGCAAAATTGGTCTAGGCATTGTCGAATTATGCGCTTACCAACACAATTTGCGATTCATTTTTATATTATAGATAATATAGATTTTACAACGTTGCCCCACACTAGGGTTTTCTCCTGAGTCGCTAGTGCTTTTAAAAACATATAGTTTCCATACACCCAGACCCTGAACTACAATTTGTGGATCAGACAAAGAACTGTTGTTCGGAATCGAACCAGCGACACGTTGCCCGGCAGCTGGTTGCAAAGCCACTTCCTCAATCAAGCAATTTTCTATTCGAAAACTTTATGTAGTCAAAACAACATTAACGACTTTTCCTTCAGTCGAACTTGAAGTCAAAGAGCAATAATGTATCGGATCCTCGGCCTGGAGCAGGAGAAGGAACGGGTTGGTTTTTAGTCAGTAAGAATCTGACACTCCCTCTCCCTTTCGCTCCGCTCAGACAGAGGGAAGTCAATTGATGATTCGTAAATACAGTACGGCCGACGTATCTTGGCGAGTCTGAAGTTAGCCGTTTGTCTGCGCAATGGATCTTTTAGGAACAAAATTGTGTACTGCGCTGCTAATCGGCTAACTTCAGTCTCGCCAAGATCCGTTGACGGTATTGTAGCCTTTATTAAAGAAACCCGATTCAAACCGGAGGTTGTAGTGCCGCAGTGTTTCTTACAAGGAGGTTTTTTAATCAGAAATAATCTTTCCCTTCTCAAAAAAGGCTCAAAATAATCTGTACTAATTTTTGTTTCAACTATTCACACAATGGGACCCCAAAAATATAGATGTTAGAACATGCATAGTAAATTATTAAAATACAATTATTATAGAGTCAGTCTTTCCTAAGTTATTTCCAGTTAATAGATCACAAAACCTTATAAGTATTGATTTTATCGGTCTTTTGAGTTGCGTAACACCACTATTTTCATAATGCCAAGGGTTAGGAAGAAGTATGTTTGAAAATTCTTTTCGGCATGCATTGAGTCAATACTTATTAGAGCCCCCGTGTGACTCGAAACGAGTCGAGAATCCAAAAAAAATGATTATCTCAAAAAACCGATATCATACCAATCATGGTTCAGATTAAAAATATAATAAAATAATTATTAAAAGACAACAAGACAATAATAATAATAATAAGTACCAAAAGATAAATTGTTAGCCAATGTTAAGAACAATTAAATAAAATAAATAATTAATAGGTAAAATAAACATTCAAAAATATTATTAATATCGTACTGCGTTCTTTTCACTTGTGCGGTGAAATCCTCCTTGCCCTGTTCCGATCTGAAATAGTTTTATAATACAAAAATACTATGTAGAACCGCCACCGACAGAAAAAAGATAATTTTCGGAAAAATAAACAATAAGAAAATTAACAAAATATTTTTATATTGAGTCCTAGAATATAAGCAACATTTTTGTTGATATAGCATAATTCGTAGTAACCATTGGTGCTACCGTTTTTCACTAGATGGCGCAACTGTGTACGTCTCTTCTTTTTTCCAATAGGCAATTAGTTAGTGTTTTTTTTATTAATAGTTACTATCGTGAGGCATACTTAATTAAGGCAGTCATCTGCGTGACGTTGCCGCTTAAGTCCAGTTGTGACTTGAGACTTGTACACCTTCATCAATTAAAAAACCTAAGTCAGGTATTTTTTTTTTCCATAAAATTTGCTAGTGAATTTTCATACCTATAGAATCATAGTTCAATTTTTGGAAACTACTTTGATTGGAAAAACCTATATCATACTAGATAAGCGTGATCTGGTGTAAAAAATGGTAGACCACGTTTAATCGGAATTGAGTAGCGTGTATGTGCGTAATGGAGGTAGCTAATATTTTAGGACATTAAAGAAAAGGTGATGAAAATGAAATGAAATAAATATACTAACAATTTTGATGAGGATTTTTAAACTAAATGAATGTGAACAACTTAAAAAACAAACTTAAAAGATAGACTGTCAAAAATGTTTCATAATACAATTACGCATTCTTCTTTAATTAACGATAAAACGGGGTGAATAGAATTCAAGGGGTGAAAAGACACAGTTCACCCCTTTCGTGTCCCCGCAAACTCTATTTACCCCGTTTTACAGTAATTGTAGGAAATTTAATAAATCGTTTTAAAACTAATTCCTCTAATGATAAAACTTTTTTACAACCTCGACAGATGACAGCTGACACTTACATATGTCATCTAACAACTGACACTTACGTAAAACTTCTTTTGACAGCTGTCAAATTAATTTAGTTATACCTACGCTCTTACGCTCATTCTTCTCCATAAAAACCGACATAATATTCGAAAGAGTAATAAAATAAGCTTCACAAGAAGACCGACAAACATATTTTTTATTCTTAGCTAACCTTATAGTTTCAAAATGAGCTATAACTAGCTTCATTAATATCTCGTCTTTCGGTATTAGAGACACACAATAGAATAGAAAATACATCGTGTCTCGCTCATACATAGTTTACGGGCACCTAGCTTCACAGACGAACAGACTGACAGACTACTATTCTATTTTGACGTTTCAAAAGTACCTATTTATGGTTTAGTTGGAATAAATGATTTTGACGGCATACCACGGGTGAAAAATACATTTCGGTATAAAAAAGTACGTTTAGTTTTGAGTTCAAGTTTTTTAATCTCTCACCTTGTTCTATTAAGTCCTTTCCGTGGTTCTCCCTCAGCGTCATCACCGTCACTCTGGCCAGAGTCGGTGCGTTTCCTAGCTTCCGTCTTTTCCCTTTGAGCTTCATCCAAGTTGTGTATGCCGACTAGGAGGGAATAATCCATGATCTGTGGATGATTAGAAACAGTATTAGGAAGTTACTGAGTAAATTTTATAAAGTCATTATTGATAAGGTATTAGATCAAGGGGGTCATTTTACAGAGCTATTCATAGTATTGTCAGCATTTTTTTAATTTTGTTAAACTTTCTGACTGCAAAATTCTCTTTTAACTGTCGTAAGGTCCGAATTCGGTCAAATTCTACAAAACTTGAAACACTATGTTCATTAACACTCAAGGTATAAATAATAGGTAGGTATAAATTATCGGGTAGTTTCCTAGATCAAAAATAAATTAATTCGATGTCTCAATACAATTAAACATTGAAAAATAATTATACTTTTATTCATTGATCGATCGATACACTACAATTTTGTTATTTATTGACTAATTTTTAAGAAATAAGTAAGCTATTTGACGCAAAAATATACTATGACGTCATTACTCAGTATTTCATACAAATCTTATAGTATCGTTTTTGACATTTGGATAAAAGTATTGAATTTGACTAGTTGGAAACTACCGTATTGTAGATCATTTTACGTTACCTCAACTTTACACGTGTAAGCGAAATATCAAGCAAATTTATTAAAGCGTAAAGAGGTGACAATTAAGTCTTTCTTTCCCATTTATAATAGCAATTGAGTTTAGGCCTTTGATGAAGCCATTACCTTAAAACTCTCGAGCACCCTGCAGTCCCGCTGCATGGTCTTAATGAGGGCGTTGTACGTGTCCGCTTCTAAGAACAGACCCTCAGTGTGGTGTTCCATGAAATCTAGGTCCTTGTATGTGGGCGATGTCTTCTGACGTTCACTTTTGTTCGCCTGCAATTTTGGTTTATTTTCAATTATTATTTTAAAACGACTTTGTTTTACACTATTTAGTGATTTGTCGTCACTACATACATACATAGTCATGTCCCTATATCCGTATGTACGCATAAATGTTATAAACAACGCAAGCGTTTTTTTTATGTAGTGGGCGGGCACACTTCATGGTAATCGGCGCCGCCCATAGACGAGTCTTCGTCCACCTACGAGTGTTTATGGGAGCAACATTGCTGATCTTTTAGGGATTAGGGATTTGGGAGTAAAAGGGGCAGGGAAAGGTCTATGCCTCCAGTACCTCACCCACATTCCGAAACAGTGCCAAAGCTTGGCTCTCCCACAATTCTAATAGCATTTATTAGGTCATCCTTCTAAAAAACTCAACAGGAAATACTCGGTTGACTGACTGCACGGTTGGCGCAGTAGATGGGCAACTGGCTTCTGTGCAACGTGTCGCGGGTCCGATTCCCGCACGAAACCACTCTTTGTGTGATTCACAAATTGTTGTTTCGGATCTGGATGTCTTGTGTATGTGGACAGCGGAAAATCCTTATGTAGGGCAACGTTGTATTAAAAAACCAAAAACAATACAAGTGGCACATACCTTCCGTTTATAAGTGGATCCTTTCAAGTCATATTTCTGGTGGAGTTTGATGGACGATGGGAGTAAGTTGTTCATCGCTACCAGTCGTACGTTCTTGCTGTTACATTGGTAACAATACAAGCCGAAGAATTTTGGCAGTAATGTACGTGGATTCTGAAAATTGAGAATTAAGAGTCAGTCGTTTATTTTGAGTGATTTAAGTTACTTAAGTATAATTCTATTATTTTACTATTAAAAAAATACCTTCAATTAAAGGTCACCTCAATTAAAGACATTTGATTTGCCTTATCGATTTGAAATTCTGAGTTGTATCAATCAGATTTCGTTTCTTCTTGGAAAATATACCTTCCCTTGTTATAACAGTGTGGAAAATATAACCAGTATACAATGTGTCTAAAAATCGCGTAATTATAAAATTGATCAATAAAGTTCATTTTTGATCACTATCAAAACCTAATTACAACCTTATACTCCTTTCTACACAAACAAAACCCAACCTTAAACAATCAAAAATAAAGCATAAATTCCCTTAACACACAACAGTAACATAAACCTACTTTCGTATACAGCGTCAAAGTAAAATGAACTCTAAAATACCTGATCCAAGTTTAAGTAGTATCCAGGCAATAGTTTCTGAAGAAACTCTCCCTCTTTGTGTTGAACAGTCTTGATGATGAACTCGTCATCGTTGGTTAGGTAGAAGATGCTGCCGGACGCTCCAGGGTTACTGAGCTCGCGTAACGGGGCACTGCACATCGACATCTGGTAGGAAATAGATTAACATAATATGGCTAGGAGTGGGGCCATAGTTGGCGGTGGACGGCGAAATGTGTGATGTTCTTCTGTTCGTGTTTTAAGTACCTAACTAGATTGTACTTTAATTAAGATTGTTTTAAAGTTCAATTTTCAATCAACGTACTCCTCTATGTAAAATTACTTTATTCGATTTTCAACTCTATCTTATCGTTATAAAGTCGTAAATCCAATTAGAAGGTAAATTGGAGAAAAGTAAATCTGCTAGACTAAAATATGTTCTATAACCTACCCTTTAAGTAATTTTTGCTTGCACTGCGTGTATAAGACAGTTAATAATATGTTTTTGTGTGTACATATGTATACCGTAGATACATTTTTAAAATAGTCATATTTAATTTTATAATGGTTCCGTATTAAATAAAGCAGCGTAAAGTTGTCTGAAACGGGTTTCAGATAAACATTTTTTGTGCATTTCGGATGTTCTTCCCTGTTCACTTAAAGAGAAGAAATTCAACAGACATGGTCTATCCAACTGCGAAATTACATCAAAACGGATTCACCAGTTACCGCGTTACACGGTGACAAACATTCATCCAACTAATCAAACAAATTATTATGAAACCACTGTCGGTTATAGAATAAGGAAAAACCGCTATGAAAAATATCCATTTAATAATGTAAACATAATAAAATCACTGGTATATTTATCTATAGTAGTATTACAGAGCTGGAGTTTTTTTTTTAAATATTTGAACAAGCTAATCTCTAGAAGATTCCAATCATAAAAATATTACTTATAAAAGCAAAAGTTTACAAGTACGGATGGATGTTTGTCAAGTAACTCCTTCATGTAAAAACTACTGAATGGATTTTAATGAAATTTGGCATACATATAGATTATAGTATGGAATAATACATTGGCTAATAAGCTACTTCCGTAAGGGTAACGCGGACGAAGCCGCTGGAAAAAGCCAGTTGGAAAATAAACATATGAAGATCTATATCAGTATTATAAAAAAATCTTTGTTTTTGAGTGCAATAATCTCCAAAACTATTCGTCCGATTTGGACAATTCTTTTTGAGATGGATAGTCAATTAATCGAAGAAAACTATATGCTATAAGACATCACGCTACGGCGGAAAGGAGCTAAGCAGCGGGAGAACCGCTGACAAGAGCTTAACTAGGAGTATAATCTAAAGAGTTTTATTACGTTTGAACTCACTAATCACTGTAAGTTTTAATCTAATAACAAAATATAGCGAAAAACGTATGTTCGGATGTATGTAGTCTGAGTTGAGTATATATATGAGATACTATTTAAGAGATTACATATTGTTTCTAGGGCTACAACTAGCTGTGCAAAAACATGCTTTAACATTTAAAAGTCAGAATATTTTAGGCTTAGACGAATAAGTGTTCCAAGTTAAACATGCAGTGTGACTGTATTTCTGTCTATGGCATCACCACCATCTAAACTGATAAACAATTTTTGAAGTAACTTGTACGGGCAAAATAAACAATCTCAACCCATTTTCTTTTAGTTTGGTTTAGTACAGGATTTTCATCCCTTTCAGATACGTAGACGTGGCTAAAGGGCGCTAGACGTTACGTTGAGCGATCCGTCATATTCTTTTTAATCATATTAACTAGTGCTTGACTGGAATCCCACCTGATGGTAAGCAGTGATGCAATCGTTGATGGCAAGGCCCTTGTTTATTAAGAGCTTATTCACTCTAGCCTTGAAGAAACCTAAATCATAACTGGACGGGAAGACTGTTGCATGCAAGCTATTCCAATTCTTAGATGTGCGTGCTCGTGAGCCTTTGACTGCCGACAGAAAACTGTTGAAGGCAAATCCTCCGCTAGCGTGGCCCACACGGTGTCAACAACGGCGTTCAACGTGTTAAAGATTATTGTAAATCATTTCTGTGTGATAAATTGACGGAACCTTAAATCACATTATTTATTTTGTTACATCCTAAAGATACACAATACTTATCATACGAAAATGTAAAGATTTTCTGTGTATGTATAAGAGTAAAAAAATCTTCTTATAAAAAACTTATACATATGTAAACGCAAAACGCTACGTGCAGTTAGCGAACAGTGCTCAAAAACATCGATTTGCAAACTACGTGTAAAATAAAAACAATCAACTATCGGACTTTTTGGAACAAAAACCTAGCTAATAGAACTTCAAATACAATTATGAATCGATCTATCACTACTCTGACGAGGCTTGTGACTTAAAGCGACAGTAGCGCCATCTGCTAAAAGAAAATTACCGCAATACTATCTAAGTTTAGAATAATAGGGATTTCTCCGCGTACTTTTCAGGGAAACAAGGTAAAATAATGGTATACGTATGTATACGTTTATATTTATATGCAATAACTGCAGTTTCCAAAGAGGTAAACAAAACAAGTGGTGCATGTACACCATGCAAGACTCACTCATAGCAATTTCTTATATGTACCATTTAATGCGTTTAAAATTATCACACCAGTCACAAGCCTCTTTCAAAATAACCAAATATCGTTTTTGTTAAGCGGCAAATGTTCTAAATAACCCATAGAACAGGATATCTCTTACATAGTGCCTATTTCATGACCTTAATATGAGTTCCTGACAAGCTTAAGTGCCACATAGATCACACAAACTACGTTCCATATCAAAGTATATCTGGTAAACTGCGGATACTCAGATATTGTACTACAGATCCTTAGTTTTACTGAGATTTTCGACTGTATTGTATTGCATGGAGGGTTTAAAATCAATAAGAAATAACTTCAGAACATTAACCGCAAAACAAAAAACTGAAATCTAAACAAACAGAAGAACATCTAGAAGCTACGAAGAAAAGGGACAATTTAAAAACGATGTCTTACTAAGAAATCATCAGGTTGAATGCCGAAGAGGTCGCGAAAGTATCTGAAGGCTATTGGGGCATAAGTCTTGAATTTGAACTCCGAGTAATGATGGGCTGGCGTATGGTTTGAACCTTCGTGAGGAAAATTTGTTGTTTCCACTGTCATAAAGTCTTGCATGAGGAGATCTCGTTCAGGTTTGGAAGCTAGCCCGCCGATCGCATGCTGGATTCCTGGAAAGAAAGAAAATATATGTATTAGAATGGTGTTTCAATCAATGCAAACTAATATAATGGAGGTGTAAATTAAAAGGAAATGGTAGCTTTTTGTGAGGGGAAAATCATCATACTTTTCTTGCCTAGGGTAAGTCGAGAGGGAGTTTCAGACGCTGACTAAAAACACCCCAGTTCCTTCGCCTGTTCTAGGCCGCGGTACCTCATTGCGCTTGTTCGGCAACCCTGACTGGACTGCCATTCAATAATTTATTTAAATTCGGTCTCCCCTTTCATTACGAACTTTGTATCATTAATGGCTTAGTAAAACGTCACCAAAATCATTATTATCATACAAAACTTTAAAATTGCGACGAAAACAAAAGTTCATCGAACCTAAAATAACAATCTTTATTAAGATTAAACTAAATGCAAAATAAATTAATAAGCTCAGTGGCGTGCAATTGAGGCCTATGTCCAGCAGTGGACGACAACAGGCTGATGATGATGATGATGATGAAAATAAATTCCATGTAAATTATTCAAAAGAAAATTTCTTAAACACGTCATAGTGGCGTCAGGCTTTGGGCCTAATAATTGTGGAGTATTAGGGCTGAAGACAGGATTAAAATAACTGTCACGCCGAAAAAAAAACGCAGTAGAACTCCAGCTTAACTAACTTTAACAAAACCCCAAAGTCTCCCAAAGCGCTTGTAACCCCTAGGTGTCCAAGGACACTGATTGCTTACCATCAGATAATATGTTCGAAACGCTAGTGTATGATAAACTATTTTAAAAACAAGAAACATCACCAACAGCAAATCAAAAAACATGCTTCAACAATGGAAACGTCAGCAGAAGAAATATCCTTAAAACACGCCTAAGAGTTTGGGTACACAAAAAGGCGTTCATTCGCATTATCGATGTTTCGAATAAACAACAAAAACGTAATGGTTGACAAGTTAATTACATTATTATAAAGGAGTCATTAGTCACACCATGGTCATAGACGATTGAGAAATCGACCTTGAACACAAATTTATTTAAATTTATTGTAAAATACTTGAAATTTTCGTTTCGTCGTCGCTGATAAAATTAGTTTATAAAGAAATTTTGGGTTATTGAAATTCGTTTGTTTCGAGACAGTAATTGGGTTTCAGTTTTGATAGTTTTTAGGGCTCTGTAGACAAGGGGTAAAACTGAACCTAATTTATTACCAAAACTCCGTTTTCAAATCTATCAGTCTGTCATCAAGATATATGAAATCAATCGTAATTCTCAGATAATATATTCCTGTTTAAAAATACCGCCTTTTCTCTGACATACCTTAAGACAAAATATTTTCGGAACAGGAAGAACAATTGTCAATTGTCCTCTTTATTTTTTTGAGGAGTGAAAATCATCAAGTGGCTTATGTCGTCCTGGGTGGGGTGAGAGTTAGACGAAATCAGACTCTTACACCCGGTTTCCGAAAGGCCGATAAATGTTAAAATCAATTTAATCTTGTCAAGTCATCTGATTGGTTGACTGAATCATCAATAACCAATCAGATGACTTGACAAGAGATTAGTTAATTTTAGGGTTGATAAGCCTTTCAGAAACCGGGTGTTATTGACTGAAAACTGTCCTGTTCCTTCTCCTGCTCCATGCCGAAACCGCAGTATATTATTTGGCTCGACCCGCAACCATGGTTGAACAGTATTGTATCCTTACACCCGGTTTCTGAAAGGCTTGTCAACGCTAAAATTAATTAATCTCCTGTTCAATCTCTTGTCAAGTCATCTGATTGTTTGTTGATAATTCAGTCAGCCAATCAGATGACTTGACAAGAGATTAAATTAATTTGAACATTGATCGGCCTTTCGGAAACCGGGTGTTAGTCGGCTCTTTTAACACAGGCAGGAAGAAACCACATAATTATTATCAACAACTGCGATCGTATTCCTATTGTTATTATATCGATTGAAAAAGATTTTCGCTAAGGCCAATAATAACATCTCTTTAGATTCCCACGAAAGACCAACCATTAAATACTACTTACAGCCAAACCTTGTCCAGTTTTCAGCCACGCTATGAAAACAACAAAACTGACCAACGAAAATACCTTTATTGATGCCAGATTGATAGGAACTATAAAATATTTACGTAATACAAGGCCAATTGAAGATGGTAGAGGAAAAACGCCCTTATAACAATCGTATAAAGATGGTATCGAAGTTATCTTTGGCTAGGAAGTTTCGTTAAAAGGTACGTTCTTTACACGCAGCGATCGAAGTGTCGTATCAAAAATTCATTCACATGGTATGTTTAGAAAACGTTACATTTCCTACGCTACGAGTTTTTTAATTGATTTCCTAAAATATCTTAGTGTGTTGTAATATGAAATTAGTACTAACAGTAACAGTTCACAACTTCAAGTGTGTGATCTATACTTCTATACTAATATTATAAAGAGGTAAAATTTGTAAGTTTGTATGTAGGGGGTAATCTTTGGAACCGCTGGTCGGATTGCCAAAATTCTTTGACTGATAGATAGCTATAACGTTCGTGAGTTTTATAGGCATAAAACATCACGCTACGATGTAATGGAGCCAAGCAGCGAGCGAAACCGCAGGAGTAGCTAGTTAAAGAATAACAAAAGAACAAATACTACTACCTATAATACAAATTTTACCTCTTTATAATATTAGTATAGATAATGTAGATCTAAAATCTTCCAAATTTATTCTAGAGTAAGGTACAGTTCTCGCTAAAACAGCTGGTACTCGTGACATTGAACGATAAACTGAATGCGCCCTTGGATCCGTATCAACAGCTCCACAGGAAGCATTCTGCACTATACTTTATAGTTTTTTCCTCTTTTTTTCACAGAAGTGTTTACAAAAAACCCAGTTGATAAAATACTAGCCTAAATAGACTTTCATTCCGAGTGTGTTTTTGGCACGTAAAAGAGAGATTGGAGGGGTTTTCAATTGTGCATGACCATCACCTGGCCTTTTATATCCGATGAGGTAGTTAATGTTGTCTTGTATTGTGTTTGTCTTCGTAATGACACATAATGCAGTATAGTCAATGATTTACACTTACTTTTCACCAATTAAGAGTGAGTAAGCCTTGGATTGTTCGACAAACGAGCAGACGGATTACCTGATAATAATTTGACACTGCCTGTGAACACCAGAGAATTTACAAGAGCATTGCCGACCGTTTGAAGCTAGTTGGATTGGTGGGATTATGGGGAGGGAAAAGATTGGACCTCCAGTAACCTTACTCACACGGCAAAACACAACGCTGTAGTTGTTTCACACCGGTTTTCTGTGAGGCCGTGGTATCACTTCGGTCGAGCCGACCCATTCATGCCGAATCATGGCCTGTCTCACCCAATTATAACTATTAATCATTCAGTTAATACGGTTCTAGTAACTGTCCATTACTGATAGCAGTTTAATTTCTGGCAGGCCACAGTTCTAATCAACTGCTTGGCAGCGAGCCTTCAACTTATGGCATGCTTCTCATGCATGAGGTTGCGTTTTGAAACCTGGCAATTATCGATGTGACTTTTTCCGAGTTAGCAGCCCACTGGTCACATCAATCACATAATTGATGTGATGATGTGAATCATTATCACTCATACTATTAGTTCTATGGCTTATTAAGTTAGCTGCAACATATTGTTATCTATATATATAAAAGAAAGTCGTGTTAGTTACTCCACTTATAACTCAAGAACGGCTGAACCGATTTAGCTGAAAATTGGCAGGGAGGTAGTTTAGAGCCAGGCGAAGGACATAGGATAGAGTAGGTGGAATAGGTTAGGTGGAGTAGGGTAGGTAGTGTAGGGTAGGTAGAGTAAGGTAGGTAGAGTAGGGTAGGGAGAGTAGGGTAGGGTAGGTAGAGTAGGGTAGGGTAGGTAGAGTAGGGTAGGGTAGGTAGAGTAGGGTAGGGTAGGTAGAGTAGTATAGGTAGAGTAGGGTAGATAGAGTAGGGTAGGTAGAGTAGAGTAGGTAGAGTAGGGTAGGTAGAGTAAGATAGATAGTCAAATGACGGGAGCGACGCCGCGGGTAAGAGCTAGTATCACATAAACTCACACTTTTGTCTACAGGAACTAAAGAGCGGAACCTACTACAATATGAACTACATACTTCTTTATCATATTCATGCATAACATTTAAATAAGCACGCTGTTTGGCTTGGTTTACCACTAGAAAAGACGCAAATAATGAATGTCGAATGACTCGATTCTGGCACACACATTTCGATAAATCTACAATCACCAATTTCTTTAGGCTCATCAACTGTAGAACATTTTTCTGTCTGTGTTTGTTGAGCTAAAAAGACTTTTCAGAAGCGTTTTTGTTTCATTACATTCGTATAACTGTAAAATCGTATTAAGTTTACTTGATGAGCAGAGCCACGAGGAGTTCAGTAGCACTATTATTCTAGGTAAGTCATTGTAAGAGGAGACAATCATTAAATTTAATCATAAGTATCTAGAAATATATTAGATAATGGATTGACTTCTCCTTAAAGCTGTTTCGAATAAAATTGAAGTACTTATGATACTTAAAGACATATTTTACTATAGATGTTCGACCTAGAAAACACTAGCAAAGTTACCCTTTGTTCTCATAACGAAAAGGTGCAAAAGCGACAAAAACTTCTTACGATCCAAAATTAACAAACCTACACAATCAAAAGCCTGTCTAAAATCACAAAAAGCCACGCCTATTAAACATTACAATTAATTCAAATATTACTTCCCAAAGCAAAGGGTTTTGAACAAATTAAGAACAGATTAGAAAAACCTACCAGCCACTATGCAATCCATTAATTTCTTCGAATCCATTTTGGAAAAACCCCCTATTCAAGGGGACCATGAGAGAACTATTTTCACACAAAAATTACACTTGGAACACTGTTTTTGTCGCAAATTGTACCACAGTGGGAGAAGCGAATTATCCTTAAAATGCCATTTTCCTGTTGGAATATTAATTTAATTAAATTTTAAAATGTATTTATTA